GAACAGAACAGAGGACCCAGATAGGAAGCCACACAACTATACCCAACTTGTCTTTGACAAAGGCGCTAAAAACATATGATGGAGAAAAGACAGCCTCTTCAACAAAAACTGCTGGGAAAACTGGTTAGCAGTTTGCAAAAAACTGAAACTAGATCCATGTATATCACCCTATACCAATATTAACTCAAAATGGATCAAGGATCTTAATATCAGACCACAAACTCTAAAGTTGATACAGGAAAGAGTAGGAAATACTCTGGAATTAGTAGGTATAGGTAAGAACTTTCTCAATGGAACCCAGCAGCACAGCAACTAAGAGATAGCATAGATAAATGGGACCTCATAAAACTAAAAAGCTTCTGTTCATCAAAAGAAATGGTCTCTAAACTGAAGAGAACACCCACAGAGTGGGAGAAAATATTTGCCAGCTACACATCAGACAAAGGACTGATAACCAGAATATATAGGGAACTTAAAAAACTAAATTCTCCCAAAACTAATGAACCAATAAAGAAATGGGCAAGTGAACTAAACAGAACTTTCTCAAAAGAAGAAATTCAAATGGCCAAAAAACACATGAAAAAATGCTCACCATCTCTAGCAATAAAGGAAATGCAAATTAAAACCACACTAAGATTCCACCTCACCCCTGTTAGAATAGCCATCATCAGCAACACCACCAACAACAGGTGTTGGCGAGGATGCGGGGAAAAAGGAACCCTCTTACACTGTTGGTGGGAATGTAAACTAGTACAACCACTCTGGAAAAAAATTTGGAGGCTACTTAAAAAGCTAACATTGATCTACCATTTGATCCAGCAATACCACTCTTGGGGATATACCCAAAAGACTGTGACACAGGTTACTCCAGAGGCACCTGCACACCCATGTTTATTGCGGCACTATTCACAATAGCCAAGTTATGGAAACAGCCAAGATGCCCCACCACTGACGAATGGATTAAGAAAATGTGGTATCTATACACAATGGAATTTTATGCAGCCATGAAGAAGAACGAAATGTTATCATTCGCTGGTAAATGGATGGAATTGGAGAACATCATTCTGAGTGAGGTTAGCCTGGCCCAAAAGACCAAAAATCGTATGTTCTCCCTCATATGTGGACATTAGATCAAGGGCAAACACAACAATGGGATTGGACTTTGAGCACATGATAAAAGCGAGAGCACACAAGGGAGGGGTGAGGATAGGTAAGACACCTAAAAAACTAGCTAGCATTTGTTGCCCTTAACGCAGAGAAACTAAAGCAGATACCTTAAAAGCAACTGAGGCCAATAGGAAAAGGGGACCAGGAACTAGAGAAAAGGTTAGATCAAAAAGAATTAACCTAGAAGGTAACACACACACACAGGAAATCAATGTGAGTCAATCCCTGTATAGCTATCCTTATCTCAACCAGCAAAAACCCTTGTTCCTTCCTATTATTGCTTATACTCTCTCTACAACAAAATTAGAAATAAGGGCAAAATAGTTTCTGCTGGGTATTGAGGGGGTGGAGAGGGAGGGCGGAGTGGGTGGTAAGGGAGGGGGGTGGGGGCAGGGGGGAGAAATGACCCAAGCCTTGTATGCATATATGAATAATAAAAGAAAAAAAAGAAGAATTAACCTAGAAGGTAACACCCACGCACAGGAAATCAATGTGAGTCAATGCCCTGTATAGCTATCCTTATCTCAACTAGCAAAAACCGTTGTTCCTTCCTATTATTGCTTATACTCTCTCTTCAACACAATTAGAGATAAGGGCAAAATAGTTTCTGCCAGGTATCGAGGGGGTGGGGGGGGTAAGAGAGGGGGTGGGGGAAGGGAGGAGAAATGACCCAAACATTGCATGCACATATGAATAAAAAATAGATAAATAAATAAATAAAATACACAGGAATCAACATAGATGTTAAAGATCTTTACAATGAAAAGTATAAAGCACTGAAGAAAGAAACTGAGAAAGACACTAAAAGAAAGATCTCCCATGTTAATGGATCAGCAGAACTAAAATTGTTAAAAAGCCATACTACCAAAAGTTATATACATATTCAATGGAAAGTCTTTTACTTCCTGGTTTAAAAATGTACTGTAAAGCATTATCAAGACTGTTACCATCATAGGGATGTATATACAGATCAATGAAACATACTTGAGAATCCTCAAAAATTAACTCTTACAGCATGGTCAATTTATTTTTGACAAAGAGGATGAGGGAATTAAATGGGAGAAAGTATATTATTTTCAATAAGTAGTGCTAGAAAATTGGATATTCATATAGAAAAAGCTGAATTTAGACTTACCTCATATCATACATAAGAGTTAACTCAAATTCAAATACTTAAATGTAACATAAACAACTTATTAAAATTTTAGAAGAAAGGAAAACATGTATGAACTTGGGTTAGGTAAATAGTTGTTTAAAACATGACCAAAATGTATACATAAAAGAAAAAATAAGTAACTTGGATTTTACCAAAATTCAAAATATTTATCTTTCAAAGATATCATTACTAAAATTAAAATGCAACCTTGTCCAAAATATGTGTAAATCTCATATCTTATCAGAGTCTAACATCCAGAAGAACTCTTACAACTCAACAAAAAGACAATACCCAATGGAAAATGAATAAAGTACTTACATAGATATTTCTCCAAATCAGAAATACAATTGGCCAACAAGTGCATGAAAGAATGCTCAATTAGCCAGTAGGGAAATGCAAACCAAACCATCACATAACACTTTACATTCTCGAGATGATTATTATAAACCAAAGAAAAAAAGGAAACAGAAATGAGATTTGTTGATGATGTTGAGAAATTGGGGATCTTCATACACTGCTGTTGGGAATGCAAAAATGTCACAATTGTTATGCAAATCAGTTTAGAGATACCTCCATAAGTTAAACATAGATTTGTTATTTGGCTCAGTAATTCCACTAGTAGGTATAAGTTGACAACATTCACAATAACCAAAATATGGAAACAATGCACACATCTGTCAGCTGATGAGTAAATAAACAAAATGCTGTCTAGCTATACAATGTTATATTATTCACCATGAAAATGAATTAAGTACTGCTTCATGTTACAACATGGGTGACCTCTGGAAACATAAATGTAAGAATCTGAACACAAAAGGCCACACACTGTATGATTACATTTATATGAAATGTCTACCACAGGTAAATCCATGGAGACAAAAAGCAAATTAGGGGTTGCCTGGTGCTGGGGGTGGTAAAAGGATAGATTACTATAGGCAAGGGATATATCATCTAGGTGATGGAAATGTAAGTTGGAGTGGAGAGATGGTTGCACCAATTGATAAATGTACTAAAAATCCTTCAGATGTACACCGAAAACCAATTTTGTGGTATATAAATGATATCTCAGTAAAAATATTTAAAACCCAAGGAGGCAAACAAAAAGGGAGAAAACTCATCTCTTTGACAACTTGTTAGGATCATCCAGAGCTCATTAGGCTATTGTTTGATGTTGCTGTGGTGGTGGTGGTGGTGATAGAGGCAGTGTTTTTTTAGTGAGGGAAGAAGGTAAAGGAATGATTTTAATTAGTGTATATTAATTGTACGAAGTAAATAGAGTTTCGTCATGACATTCCCATACATGCATAGAATGTACTCTGATCGTGTTTTAAAGGAATATTGCTGGCTTGAAATTTGGAGGAGGAAGATAAGTGGATGGATGTTAAAAATATTCAGGATGCAAAAGTGACAGGATTCTGTACTGATTATATATAGGTGATAGCCATGGAAAAGTATGAGGGTGCCTCATAGTGAGTATGTATAAAGTTGAATTCCTATTGTCTTCTCAAACTTGTATTTCTGTGCTCCCAACTGCAGTGAGTGGATTAGCATCATGACAGAGTAGGCAGTCACTGAATGTCTTTGGAGTGAATCAACAGAATATGATGAATAGGGTAAACCTAAATGAATAAAGTAAAAACATGGCTAACAAAGCAGTCACCATGTCCTGCCAAACAGCCAGTCCGTCTTAAGCTCACCCTCAATGTTAGTTCAACAGATGTCCAGCACAACTCCAATTTGAGAAATCATTAGATCCTTCCCTCACTCAGAACATCCCCTTCATTATCAGTCACTCTGCCTAGAACCTGCAGGTATGGCACAGGCTGGCTTTTCCCAAGAGTCTCTTATCTTATAAATGGAGCAAGGGCAGGTTCATGTACAGCCCATTTGAGCATGGGGGATGTTTGGTGTCATAGAAAGAAGGTCACAGTGTTGCCCAACTGGTTGCCCAACTGGTGGGATCTATGTTCAGTTTGGCTCCAAGCAGAAAGAGACTCTTCCCAGCAAGGAACCTTATTAATCCAGGGTCCTCACCCCCCAGCTCTGGCAGGCAGAAAACACAGCTGTCAGAAACATCATAGACATTGAGAGATCAGTTTGGATACTTTACTGCCATTCCCAGAGTTGACAAGCAAAAATACAGAACTACTTGTGGTTCCTGATACAGACATCAAAACAAGGAAGCGACTTGTCTCAGTCTGTACTTCCAAGAAATAAAGAACTAGGAGGAACACACTAAAGAAATCCAGGGACTCTACCACTTTAGTGAACATTCCCAGGTTATAGAGAGGTGAAATTTGCAAACCAAACCAGAAATCCGGCTGTGTGAGCAATAGAATTAGGAGTGGAGATGTTTAATGAAGTACAAGTTTTAACCCTGCTTTAGACAGTGTCACTGGATAAACATCCTTTTTGATGATAAAATTCAAAATCATTTCTGGGCCTTTTCCTGGAAGAGCTGTCAGATTACAGAAACAGCAATAAAAGTCCCTTTTCTGGGCATGGAGCCAGGCACTCAAAAGGAGGCTCTAGAGAACATCTGGTCAGCTTGATATATTGAAGCCAACACTGCATGTTTCTCTTTATGTGTATGTGTTTCTCCTATGCTGACTCATGGCATTGAGGCTTCTCTGGAAACACCCCCACCCTTCTAACCAGCCAGTTTACACCCACCCTTTCAGCTCCTCCTCAATTCATGCTAGGTCAAGAGGAAGAAAGAAAACAAATTCAAGAGCTGCTCTTAAGCATCTAGAATTTTCTGCATACCATCTCTTAAGAGGAGAGACTGGCCCTCTAGCTGACTCAGTCTACTACAAACTAAACTCTTCTCTTAAAAGCATCAACATTCCTTGGGTCTTTGAATAAAACTGGAAGAAAAGTCCACGAATATTGTGGACTCTGCAAGAGACAGTGACTGACAACTGGCAGTAAAAACAGAAAGATGGCAAGCCTGAGGCCCAGCACTCAAGCAGACCCTGAAATTGAGCTTTTTGTGAAGGTAAGTTTTCCAGCTGTAATAATAGCAGTCAGAATGTATAGTTTCTTGGCACTGAACCTCAGCTTCTTAAAACGTCTCTTCATTTAGGCTAGAAAAAGGAAAGAAACTTGAAATTATTTTCCTACTCTGAGTCCTAAAAGAATGCCTGACTATGTGGCTGCTCTTATAATGACAACAGAAAAATAGGTCTCATCTGAAAAAGGAAGGGTGATATGATGGAAAGAGCAGTACACTGGGTGGTAGTCAAAGCAAGTAAATTTTCAGTGGATTTCTATGTAACCTTGGAAAATTCCCTCTCTCCATCCAGACCTTTGTTTCTCCATGTAAATAATGAAGGAGCCTAGAAAAAAATTATCTTGAAAGTCTTAATTCTTGGCAGTTTTTGCTTAAGAACCCTATTTTCACATAACTCAAACAGAAGTTTCTAAAATTTCCCACAATAGACAAACATCACAGTAGTGTCACATGGATGCTGTGGGAGGAAAGAGCCAGGAGTCTGTGTCTGTTATGTGAGAAGGAGGCATTTTAGAATGTTGTGCTTCCTCTTTTTGGTCTGCCTTGGAAGTTTTTTTAATGTCTTAATTTTTTTAGAAAATCACTTCGGAAAACCCCTCAGTCTCCAAATTAGCTCAGCATTAAAAAGAGTGTATGGGTTATTCCAAGTAGAAATTAGTGTCCCAAATCCCTGCTTACATTAACCGTTTAGTTTTTTTCATGTATTTTCATTGACTGTTGTAAGTATTCATGCAAAGAATGATAATAATAATAATAATAATAATAACAAAACAACAATGACAGCAATAGGCAAGTCTTATATGATTCCTGGCCCTTTTCATAAACCCTTCTAGACACTTTACATATATTATCTCACTTATCCAAGCATCAGCTTAGGAGACAAGTTACTATTAGTAGTAGTGATAGCAGTAGTTATTATTACATCATTAAAAAATTTAAGTTAGTACAATATTGTAATATTTTCATAATTTTTAGATAAGTATATTAAGATTAAAGTTTTAGTAACTAATTTATGAAACGATATAGCCTCTTGATGGTTTACAAAGACATAAAATAAGGTATGCTTATCAAATGTTAAGTTAAATACCTATTGGCCAAAATAATACTTTTTACAACTATTTTAGATTACTTAACAACTGGTCACATGTATATCTCTAGGATATCATCTAACTGTGTTTTCAAAATTATAACAGAGCAGCCCTTGAATTCTTGCATAACAAGGTAATCCAAATAAGTGTTTGCTCAACCATGGGACATAAGAGCTATTTCTCCTATCTTTGGATTGTAACAAAACATAGGAATGCTCAATTAAGATATATATATGACTTAATTTTCTAAATAGCCTTTGACATCTACCAATTCCAAACAAGTACTAATGCTTCTTCATCAGGTACCTAAATATTCCTTTTGTCTAAACTGTTCATTCAGTTCAGCCTGACTTCCTAAGTAAGATATTGGCATTGATCTGTGTGTTTATCTTCCATAGACTTCCCATATTTTGGTGGTAATCTGGACAAGAGATGTTACAAAATCACACATTGGATGAGTAAATGTTAAATAATGACGTTCCATTTAAATTAACCTATTGACTACTTACTATATGGCAGGCAATATATTAGACAGTTTATTAATACCCCATTTTATGGACACAGAAACTAAAACAAAGGGCAGGTAAGTAACTTTGTCCAAGGTCACACAACTAGTAATTGGAAGAGTTAAAATTTCAGTCCTTTAGAATAGGTATGTCTAATCTTATTCAATTGTTTTCAACTGGGTGAGCTTTTTAGTAAATTCCAAGAATTTCATCAGATGGAATACTTTAGGTGAAAGTTTATCTAATGATATTTTTTTCTGAAAAAAACCTTGAGTTACATCTAGTCCAGCTTTTTGTTTTCTTTTGTTTTGCTTTAACATGTGTTCCACAGATCTCTACAAATTGAGAGAGGACATAGAGTTTAGAGCAGTAAAAATGCTAATGAGTAAGTTTGAAAAGTATTGCTCTTTGCCAATGATAAAGATTAAATGAATCTATGATTTTCAGCCCAGCTAACTCTGGCTGTGGTTCTTAAACTCTACCACAACTTCTTCTCCATAATATTAATGGAATCACTGTCACAATTAAAAATTTATGTCATAGTACCTGTGTGTGCCATGTAGTCAGTGAAAACATTACCTTCCAGCTCTGAATGACTTCGGCAAGATTTATATCCAAGAACTAAGGAAAAAAGGTTTTATAATAGACACTTACTTTCTCTAAATGCAGGGCTGATCTTATTGGTTTGTTGCTCATTGGTAATTTTTGAATTCTATATCAAGTACTCTAGAAATTAGATTATATTAGATTTCTACATAAAATCATGAAATCGAACATTTGAAACAAAATTCTGAATGCAATACTTTTGCCAAAAACCTTTGTAAAAAATGTGTGTAAAAAGAGGAAGGACCCAGACACCAGTGCTCACACCTGTAATCCTAGCTGCTCAGGAGGCTGAGATCAGGAGAATCACAGTTTGAGGCCAGCCCAGGCAAATAGTTTGTGAGACCCTATCTTGAAAATACTCAACACAAAAAAGGGCTGGTGGAGTGGCTGAAGTGGTAGAATGCCTGCCTAGCAAGCGTGAGACACTGTGTTCAAACCTCAGAACTGCCCCAAAAAGAGGAAAGAGATTATACTCTTCTACGAATGTTCAGGCCAATTTCAAACTATCTTATGACTATAATAAAGACTGATTAATTTAAAAATCCATAAAAACTATTAGATTGGAGAAAGCAATATCCAAGAGTGTGGGTTCTGGAGTAAAAAGAGTATGTTATCAACATTCACTAGTTGAGTGTACTTGACCAAGCCAGTCTTTCTGATCCTCACTTTCCTCATCTGTAAAACAAGAGTAATAACAGAGCCCACCTCTCAGGGTCATTCTCATTGTGAGAATTAAGTGAAACAAGTATGTAAATTACAGGAGTTGGTAACATAGTAAACCTTACTCAATAAAGGTTGGCTATTCAAATTTAGAAACTTAAATCACAAACACAAAGAGAAAAAGGTTGTTTTGTGAATAATCGCATCCTGTCTGTCAGCTGAAGATACTTAAGAGGTAAGTAATTTGTCAATTAGGCTAGGGAATTTATAGCCTAAAATATTATGTGATGACACTTCAAATCAGCATAACATAAACAGAAAAAGCATGAGTTTTCCTGTAAAGCTTCCATGCATTTTCCCTGCACGTCAGTGTTTTGAGTCTCCTTTTTGCCAAAGGTGATCCACCCTTCCTGCTATGTCTATTATCTGGCTTCATTCTTCCTTCCTGCTTCCCATCATTAATCATGTTTCCATTTGCTAAACCCAGGTCTGACTCCATTCTTAGTCTGACTTCTGTTACAAAAGAAATACAGTTGCCAAGGTTGGTTGTCTCTTCCCATACCTATTCACTCTCTGACATCAGGAAAGAATAACAAAAAACACGATTTCCTCCACCCACTATCAAGGAAAAGAAAATTTGCCAAAAAAATGAGGTTAAGGTCAGATCTTGGATCCTTAACATTGCTACAAATAACAGATCAGAAAAGCTGTAAGATGAAGTGCCATTTATTTCCTTCTACAGGCTACAGACTAGTAGTTAAGTGACTGAGACCAAAGAGAATTTTAAAAACTGGGTCTAAGAGATAAGAAATCCTAATAGCTTGGACTTGAGTAGCTAGTACCTAGTGCCTGACAAATACTAAGCATCAAATAAACATTGAATGAATGAATAAACAATGAATGGCCATGGCAAAGGAGAGAACTGAACATACTTGGAAGATACTTAGTAGGTAAAATTGATAAGAATTAGTGTTGGATTCATTGTAGGAGATAAAGTAGAAGCAACATGGGCAATTGAGTGGATGGCAACGGGCTGCTATAACAAAATAGCACACAGTGAGTGGCTTAAACAACATAAACTTATTTCTCACAGTTCTAGAGGTCAGATGTCCAAGATCAAGGTGCCAACATGGTCAGGTTCTGGTGAGGGCTCTTTTCCTAGTTATAGATGGCCACCTTTTCTTTTGCATCCTCACTTGGTAGAGAAATAAGAGAAAAAGCAAGCTTTTTGGCATCTCTTCTTATAAAGACGTTCATCCCACCTTGAGGTCTATGCCCTCAGGACCTCATCTAACTCTAATCATCTTCCAAGTGCCCCATGTCCAAATGCCATTACATTAGGGGTTAGGACTTCAACATATGGATTTGGGGATGAGAACACAATTCATCCCATAGTAGGTTACAGTGCCATTCACAAAAAAGAAGCTTTAAAGAAAGAGAATATTTGTGTATGGAGTAAAGAAAAGGAGTTAAAATTCAATTTGTAAGCATCTTAACAACCTAGCTCTCTCATGATGACACTACATCAGCTGTAACCCTCTCTCCCTTGTTCTTCATTGAGCTTGGAGTTTGGGGTATGTATCCTTTAGGCATTCTTGCTGCTCATTGCTGTTTTCAGATTGTTCTATTTCCTTTGACCAGAGAAATGCCTAGGTTGAGTCTTACAACAGCAAACTAATTGCCCATGATCTTTCCTTATTATCATAGTCTTCTAAACTCCAGGTGACTCTCCCTTATTTCTTGAGAATCATTACCACTGTTTCCAGTATTAGTCCTATCATAATTCTTACTGATTTTAATGTCTGCACAGATAACTTTTCCAATACTCTGATATCTCAGATCCTTGACTTCCTCTCCTCTAGGTATCTTATGCTTCATCTCTCAGGTACCTCTTTCCCATGATCATACCTTTACCTTTGTCATTGTATTGTCTGCAATCCCTGCATATTTTCATTTATCTCTGTTTTGGAGAGCTCTGCTTTTTGAGATTTTCTATTTTTATGTTAATCAAGATATAATCTACACAAAATAAAGTGCATCCATTTTGAATGTACATTTCAATGATTTTTGACAAAGATATATACAAATGCATACACATGTAACTACTAATGCAATGAAAATATAG